TAGATTTCTCAGAATTCTACATAAATAGATTGAAATTTATATTCTAATCCATCATGACATGAATTGAAACTGTAACTTAAGCAAAATGATGACTCCCCACCAACTTTTTAATGACATCTATTGGACAGTTGTCCAATATATTCTTTCCTGTTTTTCTTTTAAACTGCAGAACCCTGCTCATATTTGTTTGCCAAATGGCCATCTCTCTGAGAGTACACTGCATTGCCATGTAATTAATTTTACACCAAACAGCTTACAAAAATAATCAGAGGCACTTAATTTAAAAGAAATATATTTTTCAAATAACTTTTAAACAGTGTCATCAGATAAATCTGTAGAATTCTTTCTTACCTCTGAGTTTTGGATTTGAATAATGTACCCATAATATTGGGAAGCAAGATGGACAATTTTAAAAGTTCCAAAGATGGAGTTCAGAACCTAGAACTGATTTAAGAACAGATGGCCACGCACAGCCTACCCAAGGGGAGTTTCTCATGCTGGCTTAATACTCTTTATGATTCTCCTGAAATGGTACCGAAGTGAGATAAAGCAGCTTCTTGCAACTTTGGTGATGTGATATGCATTCAAATGGAGTAATTTGTCTAGTAACTGTAATAAACTGGACTTATTAATTCTGAGCTGGAAACGGAGAAAAAAAAGATTTCACAATCCTTATTCATATGTTCATTCTTCAATTAAATTATGCCTTTTACAAAACCTCTCCGTCATTTTAAAGGGTCTGAGAGAGGGAAAATGCCGTGTAAATGCAATGGCCAACTAGACAGTCTGCTTTTAAAAAGAGCTAGGGGAGGGGGGAAGGCAAGTCACTTCAAGTTGCTCACTTCGTTATAGAAAATCTTTCTCCAAGTAACCATTTGTCTCTAGACCAGTGGCAGTCAACCTGGTCCCTACCACCCACTAGTGGGCGTTCCAGCTTTCATGGTGGGCGGTAGGGGTTTTGTCTGATATTGAAGCATGTTCCTTTTTTAAAAATTTAATTGACTTTTTTAAAAAAATTCATAGCATTATTTAAAAACATTTTCATTAGGTTTTCATAAAATCACCATTACTGTGGAACCGGTGGGCGGTTATAAAATTTTACTACTAACAGAGATACAAAAGTGAGTGGTAGGTATAAAAAGGTTGAATACCCCCGCTCTAGACCCTCACAATCAATGATACATTTTGAAAATGCTACATTTTAGCTTTTATTATTCACCTACTATTCACATCCTTCTATACATGAGATACAGATCATTCCATTATTTATGCAACATTTAAAGGATGAGAGGAATCAGATTCACGTCATATGTACACAATGCCTGTGCTTTCTAGTAAAAGACAGTAGTCTCTCTTACACTGTGAAGTATGAGTGTATATCTGAGCAAGTATACTCTACAGGAAATAGAATTCTGTTTTTTCCTAGATTTCCTTTGTGTGAAGGGATACTATACACAACAGTATGATTCTGAGATCAAAGGGGTTCATGTGAGAAATGTGAAATTGTTCTTTTTGTACTGTTCTTCCTAGAATACATAAAGGATATTCAAATGGACACTTGTCAGGCAAGATTGAAAGCATTGTTCTTATCTTCTAGATTGCAATGTAAAGATATACATTTAAAAACAATATTTCATTTTCAGACTTAGTTTCACTTCTCCACTCCACTGAGCTTTGTGTTTGTAGGTGCGTATCTCTTAATTGAAATGTACAGTGTTGAAGAGTTCTCTCTTCCTGTTAACTATATTTTAGTGCTAACTATTTAATTGGTTTAAAATTTCAATATACAGATTATTCTCGTCCAGACTCATATCTCCCGAAGGCTGTTGGATATATAATGTCTTTCCATTTTCTAAGTACATTTAAAAATATATAATCTTCTAAGCTTTATTTTGTTTTCAATGGAGATGTTTTCAAAATTGTTCAGTTTATAATTTTGATAGTTTGCATCCAAAAGACAGAAAGAGTTAAAGTAAATTGCCTCTATTTTTCTATTGCTTTATGATTTCTAATAATTTCTAATTACTTTTATTAATCTGACAACATAGCCCTTTCTACCCAAACTTTTCAGATCATAGTATTCACTTTCAATTTACTAAATCAAAAGCAATGCAGTGGTATCAGTCAGTTAGAAGAAATCTTCTAATGAGTAATAAATTATAAACCTGAAATGGGTTTTCATTCATTTTTTCCTATTCTTTACTATAGTGGATCTAGACTTGTCAAATTCTAGACAAAAATCTCCTCTTAAAGAAAGCTGTCATTAATACGAACATAACTCTCCTTCTCTATTTGTCATGGATACTCCCAAGATTAGGTTTCCCCATGTATGCCATTTACTAACAAATATAAGCACATTAATTGCATTTGTACAATTCTACATTATAACATGCTATTTTAATATATACTCTCTTAACATTTAGTCTTATGGTTAAGAGGCAAGTCTATTTTTAATTCTTCTGGAAATCATCTGCTATTCCGTACTTCTTACAGTTAAAGAATGGGGGAGCATTGCAGCCAGTCTTTCTGAAACCATGGCGAATGGAGGGGAGCTAAAAGTTATATGGAAGCTAAATTAATCGGCAAAGATATAACCTGGGATTCACATTGGTTAGATCTTCTGAAAGAAATTTGATACAAGGGCAAATTGTATAGGACAAGTGTCATTGGACTGTACTATTTCAAATTTTAGGTGAATAATCATATGAACGAAGCATCTTTTTCCTGAAATTCTCATTGCTCTTTTAAGAAATCACACTTATGAGCGGATTTTAATCTAGACAAATTTCAATATATACGAAGCATCTTTTTCCTGAAATTCTCATTGCTCTTTTAAGAAATCACACTTATGAGCGGATTTTAATCTAGACAAATTTCAATATATACGAAGCATCTTTTTCCTGAAATTCTCATTGCTCTTTTAAGAAATCACACTTATGAGCGGATTTTAATCTAGACAAATTTCAATATATACGAAGCATCTTTTTCCTGAAATTCTCATTGCTCTTTTAAGAAATCACACTTATGAGCGGATTTTAATCTAGACAAATTTCAATATATACGAAGCATCTTTTTCCTGAAATTCTCATTGCTCTTTTAAGAAATCACACTTATGAGCGGATTTTAATCTAGACAAATTTCAATATATACGAAGCATCTTTTTC